TGGGAGTAATTACCATGCCCGCAGCCATCTCACCTCACGCTGGGATCCCGCGCAACATAACAAGCAATGGAAATGCTGTCTTTCCTGCTGGTTTTCAACAAGCTCCCAGAGAAAGTGGTGGCAAGGCGAGGGAGAGAAATTGTGGACAGTAGCGGATTGTTTGATAAATTTCATCCTGGATTCAGCCCCAGCCATGCCACTGAGGCTGCCCTTGTCAAAGTCATAAATGGTTTGAATGCCACTGCTGAAAAGGAAGCCTGGCCTTGTTTGTACTATCAGATCTAACCATGGGGGGGTTATTCTGTAAAAGGCTGGGTTCTGTTGCAGTGCCTAGGTGACTGGCTAGTGTTGACTGAGAATGCGTTGAAATGGTTCCAGCGGTACTTGATTGCTTTCCCCAATCAACATAGTAGGGTAAATTCTCCTCGAGAGCAGCCAGTTTCACATAATGACACTTGATCCCAGGGAGAATTCACCAGTGGCCTGACTTAGTTGGCACTGATGCTTTACGCTCTTTCTCTTGCCTTTCAGAGAGATACATGAGATGCATTAGAGCAGTGTATTAGAACTCTTTTTTGGCTTTGTTGAAGAGGACTGTATTTCTAAAAGTACCAACAATCAGATATTCAGAAACAAAAGACTTTCTTGTGCAGTCAAGATTATTAATAGAGATAGAACACTGGTTTGTACCTGTTAATTTGAAGTCAGACTTCTTTTTTTTTTTTTTTAAAGCAGGCTGAATTCTGTTTGTAAATCTGGAGTGACAATGCTGACACCAATAGATACACACAGTTGTAAATAACGTAAGAGGAGAATCTGACTCAGTTGTCTGAAAACCAGAAGTCACTGAATAACTGTCCGTGGGACTTCAGCTTACATTCATGACCAGTAAGCCTAACAAAGAGACTCCAGTGCTGCTTCTGCTACTCACATCCACTCCAGTTCAACCAGTAGTCGGGTACCAATTTAATCCTGTAGAAATTTTCTCTGATCTCTGGCTTCTCCGGCTGTAGCAAGGCTGTGATCTGCAGAGGGACTGAAAACCTTAGACCAAAGGCCTGAAAAGGGGTTTAGCCACAGATCTTTCTGAATCTGATAAGTGGGAAAACAGATTTGCTTCTCGTCAAGATGCTTCTCATCAGTAACACACAGTATCTGAAATTAGCATCCAGTGAGCTTACCTGCAAATTCTCCAGACTGAGATTATCATCAATGTAACTAAGTAGGCCAAGCTGCAGCGGAAATTTGGATGAACCTTCATGTTTGTAACAGATATGGGTTCTCAGTCACTATAATTTAAGGGTCTGCAAAATCAGAGTGTGATTAACAATCTTTTGTGAACTTCAGAGATATGAAATGTGCAGTGTGCAAAAGAGCTATCCTGAGTAATTAATTTATTCATTAGCTTTCTCATGTGTCTTCATATGTCCATGACCTGAGGTAAGCTGTTATCTTCAAGGAGCCTATAGAAGAGAGGGGGAGGTTCTGGTTTTTTGCTCCGTGACATAATAATTTAAACTAGTATACTGGATTTAAGAAGACAAATGATGTTCATATGCAGTGGGAACCGAAACAAAACTGAATTTGAAACCTTTATTTCTCACTGAAACATCAAAAAATAATTAAATCCAAGCACATCCTTATTTTGTTACTAAAATGGTACAAGAAATGCGTGCAATGTACATAAACATACATTAAATCTATAGGACATTTCACCTTTCTATATTCACCCAACATGCACATTAGTAATATAAATAGGAAGTTTATTAACACATAGTGATAAACTGAAGAGTAGTATTTCACAGATGACATACAGAGATCAGAATTTGACTTGGCGTGCTTATTAACACCATTGAGCAAGCTCTGTTTAACAAACTAGAAGAAAACATACCTTATCCATTTTTTATCAACAAATCTAATTTCTGTTTGGCTTCCCCTGATTTGTAAATCAATCTTGTATTTTTCCTACAGAAATACCTAAACATTCACATTGACTATATATATGTTTTTGCTTTAAAATGGCCTTTTAAGAGTTTCTTTTTTATATTAGGCTTCTCAAAAAACAATCAGACTTAGTAATTAGTAGCTTAATTTTTAAAGAAATAGACAATAATTACATTGTGTTATGTCATTTTGTTTTTGCAGCCTCTTACCATGCTTCAAAAAAGCAAATTAGACATATAGAGCTGGGTGATATATGTGAGGGAGTGTTGCAAAGGACACATTTTAATGACCTGAGTTTGAAAGGATCATGTAAACGTTCATCACTTTGATCATTTCAGAGAGATGAGACCACCGTTTTGTTGATTTGCTCTGCTCTGCTTTGCTTTTTGTCACTTCACAGTAAACCATCTTACCTAGGTCATTGCACCAGATGAAGAGAGATGGGACTCAACATTTTTTAAGAATTCTTTCAATAGTTCTGAAGATATAGTTATTTTTCTATATCAAGCTAACACTGTTTCGATGTCTAATATTTCATAATTGACAAAGGCCAAATCCAGATGGTTCGTATTATTGAGATAATGTTAGCATCTTGCTGTGCACAGGAAGTATTTGCAGCTGCAGTAGGTTATGAGATACCGGGACACAAACCTGTCTTTAGTCACTCTCTGACCTACTGGGTAGAGTAAGCTGGGGAGAAATTCCATTCTGGGGAAGAATAATATTTTAAAGAAAGTTGGAGCAAAGGAACTGCTTTTTCTTCGTATCAACAAGATTTTTAGGACAGAGGTCATTCAAAATTAGCCAGACTTTGAATTTTATTTCCATCTAGTGATATTTAGCCTTCCTTCTCTTCAAAATACTGTTGACTAACCTTCTGTGATGCAATTAAATGTACTTGAAACTGTGTGCACAGAAGTAGAAGGAAACAGACTAAGTAAATGCACTGCCAAATAGCCGTACAGTCTCAAGGAAGTATATGTAGCTGTCGTCTTCTGTCAAGAGGCTCCCCCTTACTCCCACTGATCCCAGTTATGGATCTGAGAATGTTCTTACTTCTGCTACCAGCAAGAATTTTTTACTCATCCATACCACTGACTTCAGTGTTTAGATCTGTATCTTCTCTGACTGATACAAAACATTTTTTTAAAAAAGTGTGCTGAGAAATCCCAATTTAAAAAAAAATGATTGGGATTGTGTACTGCTTTGGGCTGGGATAGAGTTAATTTTCTTCGTACTAGCTCTTACGGTGCCGTGTTTTGGATCTGTGACCAAAGCAGTGCTGGTAACCCAGGGATGTCTCAGCTGCTGCTGAGCAGTGCTCGCACAGCCTCAAGGCCTTCGCTGTGTCCCGCACCGCCCCGCCAGCGAGGACTCTGGGGGTGCACGAGGTGCTGGGAGGGGACACTGCCGGGACAGCTGACCCCAACTGACCAAAAGGATATCCCATAACCTATGACATTGTGCTCAGCAATAAAAGCTGGGGGAAGAAGGAGGAAGGGGTGACATTTGGAGTGACGGCGTTCGTCTTCCCAAGTCACCATTAAGCGCAATGAAGCCCTGCTTTCTGGGAGGTGGCTGAACACCTGCCTGCCAATGGGAAGTAGTGAATAGATTCCATATTCTGCTTTGCTTTACCTGTTAGTCTGCCTGCACCTCAACGCACAAGTTTTCTCACTTTTACCCTTCTGATTCTCTCCCCCATGCCGCCTGAGGGAAGTGAGTGAGCGGCTGCGTGGGGCTGAGCTGCTTACCAGGGTTATCCTACAACAGACTGCTGAGTGGCAATAATAGCATATCATTTACACCACCAAGCACTTAAAAGCATGAATGGTAAAAACATCAGAATTCATACTCTGACTACACAGGAATACCTCATTTTCATCAGATAAGGGCAAAGGAATGACACTCTAACCAATAGTAGGAAAACTGTTTTGCAAGGCAAAACTTCCTTCGCTGAGAGAGGCAAGGATATGGCAGTAACCACAGCATAAGCTGAGAAAAACCAGCACATGTTTTAGCTGAGTAGAGAAAGAAGGCAGCCATCTCCCACACATATGAGACTGGAAAAATCTGCAGCATCAGGAAATGTGAAGATTTTTATGAGAGGCAACAACTGAAGGTGCAAGGTTATGGGCTGAAATGACAACGGCAAATGGCTATTCTCCACAGCGACTGAGAAAGGTGCAATAGGGAGAGCTTGTGGGAGGAGATGAAAAAATTTGCCTTAGCCATGAGGAGCTCACTAAGGTGGTGAGCAGACATTGCCAAGCAGAGATAAGTTTGTGTTTTCAATTTGAATGGAAGTGGATAAGTCTGGATCAGAAACCAACTTGTGAATTTCAGCACAGAGACAGCAATTGAATTTGTGCCCTGCAGTCAGTAGGTCAGGTAGGTTAAGGAAGGGATGGAGTCTCCGAGATCTGTCTGAGGAGAAATCAATGAAGAAATTGGTACGAGCAACACCAGTGGAATTACAGCAGGCGGCCCAGCACTGAGTCAGAGATGAACTCCAGGCAGCAAAAGTAAACATCACTCTCAGCGTGCTTACAGATAAGAGGGAGAAGGGGGGTGAGATGGTAGTTGTGGAGGCAGGCAGGTTCTACGTGTGTTTTTAAAGTGGAGAGATTAAACACACACTTGTTTTGAGTGGAGGGAGAAGCCAAGGCAAATGACAGTGTACAGAGGAGTAGAAAAAGAGGTAAGCAAGCACCAGGGAGAGGCGAAGATGGAATAATTTGTTCTGCTTAACACTTGCATCCGTTTTGCAGATCAAAACCGCACTAATTTGGGAAGCAGTTTATATAATCCATAAAAACGCATTTTATTAGCTTTTTTTTTGCTTTGAATCACTGACTTCTAAAGAAAGAAAACAGCCATAAATGCTATTGTCTCCACAGGCAGCAATTTGGAAATGGAAGATGCATGGTTACGTGATAAGTGTATTTTCTTCATAAAAAATGTTTGCAAATGAGGTTTAAAATAAGGGAAAAATAACTTGAAAAAATTTTGCTCTTCAGAAAATAATAAAATGTCTTCTTATTTTCCCCTGGTAGGCCACACAATGCAGATTACTTTATGCAGGAAGCTAAACGGAAGAAGCATAAAGCAGACGCAATGGTGAGAACATTTTCTTTCCAGTTATGTTGCTCCAAATTATTTTTGTAATGCAGTTTCTTCATCAGTGCAGTATTGCTGGGGTAATTATAAAATCTATTATAAGGATGGCTAGGCTTGTTAAATTAAGAAATGTTTCTATAATCAAATGTTCATAGCCCAATAAACTATGACTTAACAAATAATGACTTACTGAGATAAAGGCCTGGATAAATAAAACTTTCCATTTATTCCTTTGCTTTAATTAGTAACTATAGTAATGGAGGCTGTGTAATGGATCCACATACCTATCTTCTTAGTGTAACTAGCTGGCTAGGTCCTATAATTGTATCCTCAAGTTTGGTCTGGTGGCTGAGGTATTTGTGTTTTTTTTAAAGAGCTCTGGCTCTTCAGTGCCAAAAGAATCCTTGTTTCATGGCAAACCTCCCCTAACATAATCGGAAGCACACAAGGAATCTGTGTAACCCTACATGAACACCTTGCACACGAAGGACTGTTGCAACAAACAGATTCTTGGCTCTGGCTTTGACATGTCTAAAAATGTAGCCAGTAAGACCCTCGTGAAAAAGAAGAATCTGAGGTTATTTAAAGCACTAAAGAGATGCTTGTCTTTCCGAACAAATGGGTGCAACAAAGTATGTGGTGCTCCAGAAAAGCTCCACTTAGCCATCTCTCAGCTTTCTCCGAGGCTACGTTTGTCCAGCACTATGCATAAGCCAGCACAGCCTTAAAAAATTAGGCCTCTGCGATGGCAGGTGCAATGTGTGGGGTGGGACCCTGCCTTAACAGGGTTATCTTGCAGGTGGGAGTAGTTGCAGTCCTGCCCTGCTCTGTCAGAGAGGCACCTTGTTGTCACTGCAGCAGGAAAGAAGAAGGATAGTTCACAGCTTCTGTTTCTTCACCTCTTTTTCTCAGCTGTGCAGAATGTAAAAAGGCCAAGGAAGCAGAGGCAGGCCCTTAATTTAGGACACTAACACACAGTTTTACATTCTACCTGAGTTTATTAGTACAAATTTCCATGGTTTATTCAGTTCCATATTACTCTAAAGTGAGTCTTAAATCAGAAAACATTGTGGAAGAGTACAAATGGTGCATTTTAGTGTGTTGCTTTAAAAAGAATGGAAAATATCACTTAATACGCAAAGGAAATTCTTAGCCTGAAGAGAAACATTTTTATGGTAGAGTCCCAGAAACAGGAGGTGCAAGCATTATTCTCTGCTCTGCCACAATTTTCCTGCATGAAAGTCACTTAAGCACAGTTTAAATAGGCTCCCATCAGTGTTAGGTGATTGAAACATCCTTCACATTCAGCTTCCATACTCACTGGACCAGCACCTTACTTACACTTTGTGAATCACTCTTTGCAGGTCTTTCCTCTCCCTCGTGACTGTGGAGGGATCCTGGCAGAACTGCCATATTGCCAAAGTGCCTCCAGGCACTTCAAATCACGTTGCTAGGCTCGATACCTCCTACTTTGGCACTGCAATACCTAACATAGGCACTTAGAGTGAGCAGCCTGAAAATTACTCAAAGTCTTTCTGCTCTGTAGTCCCCCATCTGTGAAACTGGGATGATAGCACTTCCACCCGCACAAGAGAGTTGGGGAGAGAAATATAATAAAAAGTTTGTGAAGTTCTCCGGTATGATCACAATGGGAGTCATATAAAAACCTAAAATAGATTGAAGTCAGCGTGCCATTCCAAAGTTAGTATTTAAAATCTTTATCCCTTGGAAAAGAATAAGGTCCATTAACCTTTCACTCTGTGCATCAGATTTCAGCTAAATGCATCCAGTCCATTAATGGGCTTTATGTACCACAGGAGTTCTGCCTGAAGGAAAGGAAAGTCAGGACAGAGAGGTATTAGTATGATTCATCTCTACCCACATCGAAAATGTAATTTTGAGAGCAAAGAAGTGGTATGTAAGCATACACATATGAACATTATGTGCACATTTGCATATACACTATCCTAATTGAGGACATATATATGTACATATATCTGTATAAGTACACAAATACACACAAACAGAGTCCAAGAAGTATTGAAAATAGGAGAAGAAATTGGGCAAGGAAGAAGGATGGCAGGAGAAGCTGAGGGAGCAGAGCAGTCCCTGGAAGAGGAGGAGGATACAGAAAGCAGACTCCGGACAAGAGGGGAGTGCGGTCAAGCAGTGCTGAAAATGATAGGGATAAAGAAGATGTAATAACATAGATGAGCCTTTAAATAAGACAGATAGTAGTCAAAGTGTTATTTCTGATTCTGTTAGCTCATGATAATCATTACCTTTCTTTGCTGAGTGATGAAAAACTACATTTGCAAACATCTGTGGAAACCCTTTTTAATGAAAGCTGGAACAAAAGGCCTGATGAGTTTGTAGAATTTCCAGCACTGGAAAAGCTTTGACAAAGATCTGTCCAGAATGTCTGTCCTGGGTTCAGCCAGAAAAGGGTATTCCATACCATGTGCCGTCATGCTGGGTTCTGGTGGTAGGGAGCTGGGCAGCGGGAACTCACTCGCGGCTCGGGAGTGCGCAGCAGCGGCGATTCGGGAGAGCGGCTCTATGGGTTGTGCGGTTTGTGTTGTGTTTTCTCCTTATTTGTATCGTTGTTGTTACTGTTCCTGTTGTTTGCTGTTCTGTTAAACTGCCCTTATCCCGACCCACCGGTTTCTGCCTGTTTCTTTCCATTCTCCTCTGCACCCCGGCAGGGGGAGGGGCGGCCGCATGGCGCTTTTGTTGCCGGCTGCAGCCAAAACCATAACAATGTCCTAGGCAGAGTTGATCCTTCTTCAGACACAGGAGTGTAGACCAAAAAACATCCTGTAGCCTCTTTCAGCTCTGCTTTCTGTGTCTTGTGATTTTCACTGATGCACGGGGTTTGATGGGGTTTAGTTTTCTTGTAGAAAAATTTATGAATCTGAAGATGGACCAACTTGTGTCAAGTTTACAATTCATGTTGATAAAATCCCATCAAATGTAACCTATCTTGATGATTACAGTGTTTCTCCGTGTCCTTATTTTTTCCCTCTAGGTGGAAAAGTTTGGAAAGGCACTGAATTATGCAGAAGCAGCACTATCGTTCATTGAGTGTGGGAATGCAATGGAACAAGGCCCAATGGAATCTAAATCCCCTTATACAATGTATTCAGAAACAGTTGAACTCATCAGGTAGGAAGGGAGGAGATGACCTCAGGGGTTACTCTGTTTGGGCAAACATGCATCTACATTATCACATAAGTCCCTAGATACAGCAAAAGAAGAGAAGTGACGTCCTCCCAAGCACCTAGTCAGGCATATGTAATATGTATGTATTATCTGTGATTTCTATGGAAATTAAAACAGGAAACTGTAGAATCAAAAAAAAACCCAACAAAACTCCAAAGGTTTTCATATCACTGAAGTTGCAAATTACTTCAAGAGTTTCATGGTATAAGTCCCATGCTACTCAAAAGGGAAAAATAATAATACATAATACCAAAACATTCTGCAAAATGTTACAACATCTTTAAGACTGCAGTTTAATGGTTACCTGAAAGAAGATGTGAACAGTGATAGAAAGTGGACACTCAAAGTCCATTTCGTGTGTGTGCTCCTACTGTAGCCAGTGGTGTCCCACAGCTCACACTAAAGCTACCCCTACATTTAGTCACCTTCATGGCTCACCAAACAGGACAATCTAGAGTTCAGTCTCACCCTCAGTCCCTGTGAAGAAAGTTTGTCTCTTAAATCCGTCCCTCCTTTATTGTTGGTACTAATATTTAACAATATTGACAGTGTCGATAGGGAACACAAAGGTCAAAATCACCCCAGCAGCTGAGTGACTCTCTCCACAAGAGAGCGAGCCCAGCCAGACCAGCAGAGAAAGCTGCACTGTCAGTGACCATGGCATCATTCCTCGGGACAGTCAACCACGCAGCTCTTGTCAGGACTAAGTTCATAGGAAACAAAATGTTTTCATTTTTAATCATATTCATAATGGAGCAAAGCTTCTAAAACAATTGCGTTCTTTTGGACTTAGTGTTGATGCGATGATTTTCTCGCATGTTAACAATTCCATTAGCATTTTATTCCACTTAGGGTTGTCTTCTCATGCATTTCAGTGGATTGAGGCCAGCTTTCTAACTGGAAGGTTATTAGACAAAGTATTTTTTTCAAAAAGAGAACAGCACATCCCAGCTTTGCAATTCTTCCTGTCTTTTTTTCAAAAGGCAGAAAGCTCTTTCTTTGTCTGCCCTGTCTTTTCTCATGATAGTAAATATATGGTCCTAACTCTGGAAATGAGTTTTGCTTGCAGATCCATAGCTTTCAATAATGTGTGTAGCTGTGGTTGTGTTGCAGTGTGAATTGCTGTTGATCTCACTTGCTGCAGCTCAGAAAAATAAGTGGTTTGCTAGGTATGCCTGTTGAAAAAAAAAAGTTCATACCAAATCTTTGCACAAGTATCAGGATTAAAGTTTGAAAGCAAAGACAAGAAAAACCAGCAGCAGCTAATTATGGGGAACAGGTATTTTTCTGGAAGCAAGCCCAGAAGTGCAATGTGTTGTCTTAACCTTGTCCGTTGTTCAGGCATTCAGCTGGAAGCTGAGATTTCCAGAAACTAATTTGTGATTGCATAGCACATACACTCTTGAAACAGCAGTGCTACCTCTGTGGATCTTTAATATTTATAGAATTTGAATGTAATGTCATATGAGCAAAAATAGCTCTGAGCCACATGTTCCCCCTCCGCTGTGCTCTGCTCGGAGGAGCGGATCTGGGTAGACACACTCAGAACTGGCAGGGGGAGGGGAGC